GCCGCCGCGCAGGTCGGCCCGTCCCCGCGGGGCTCGCCCGGCACCGGGGGGCGGTGGCACCGGACAGCGGCGCGGGCCGGGCCCGTCCTCCTCCCGCTCCTGATAGCGGGTCAGGCTCCGGAGAGTCGCTCCTCTTATTTTCTCTTTCCTGTCTCCTGCAGGTACAGAGCAATCTCCCGGCTGGCTCGAGCAGAGGCGGCTATATATAGGCACCGGGGAGAGGCGAGGGAAGGGAAGGGAAAGGATGGGAAGGGGGAGAGGCGGGCAAGCCCCGCCGCCCCTCGGCTTCAGCGGCTGCTCCGGCTGCCGGCGGTGACGGCGGCGCCCCGGGGGAGCGGGCGGGGGCGGGAGGCGGGGGCGACGCGGGGACGAGGGAGGCTTTTCTCCAGTGTGTCACACGCGGCGGCTCCGGGGGAGGTCGCTGAGGCGGCGGAGGGAGCCCCGGCCGGGGCGGGCGGAGGGCGAGGGCCGGGCTGCGCCGGGAGTGGGGACGCTGCAAAGCCTCCGAGCCGCAGGACTGCCCGGGATTACACACCAGTGCGTGTGCTCTCCACATAAATATTGAATGTCCTTACTGTGTCATATTTATAGAGACTTAATAAAGAGCCGCCGACTGTGTGTTTGAACGACAATAGTGCTGTCATACTAACGTGAGGATGGAGCTCAGGAAAAGATAAATACTCCTACTTAAATCGATAGGATTCATATGCCCAGAAAAAAAAAATCGCGCCGTAAGCGTTGGCAGGTACTTTCAGAAATCCCCCTGCCGTTACTCCGCGGCCCCAGGACTGTCACTTACTCTCCTTCCTGCCGGTGCTGAACCCCCACCCCTCAGCTGGAGGGATTTAAAGATGTGTTAAATGCTGCCTGCGATAATACAGCAACACTTGCCTTGAGTACCCCTAGGAGTGAACCCATGTCTGGAAAACCGCATCAGCCTACTTTTTCCACCTGCACCCAAACTTTTGTACATAGGATCTGCAAACACACAGAATTAATATATACAGCAATGATCTAGATCAATGTCTGAAAGCATCTCTGTTCCCCTTATTTTGCTTGCATACTTCAAAAACTATCTCTGTTCATTTTCTCTTTTGAAGCTCTTCAGCTCCAATCTTGTAAGCAGTCACAGATGTGTCTATCTTTGGCATTCAGTCCTGTGGAATCTATGGGAATATATGCTGTACATCAAGTTAAATGCATACATAACAATTCACAGGATAAAGGCGTTACTTTCCATAGTGAAAAGAACAAAAAATAAAAATCAGGTCCTGCACTTCTTTCATAAGCAAAGCAAATCTGAAGAGTTTAATTAAATGTGATATATTAGCCATTTTACTTCAAGAGGAAGTGCCTAATCTTTCTTTGTCCTGAATCTTCGACATCTTCAAGAAGTGTTACATCACTTTGCATGCTGTTGCAGAATACAAATTATCATTTATTGACACTCAAACCAGTTAAGGATTACCAGTTTCAGTATAAGGAGTTTCCTACCTTCCTTATATAGTCCTGTAGAAGGATTGTATTCAGGTCTACTGTCTCTGGAAAGAAATGAGCCTTTATTTTTATCTTGCAGCACAGTCTAAAAAAGGTTTTTAATCTTAACAATGTTTAATAAGAGGTTACACTTGCTAATTGTGTTTGTATGTCCTAGGAGGACTAAGATTTTCCTCAATAATTAGCATTGCCTTATATTTCCTGTGGTGATATTTGGCTGCCCACCTGTTAGAACAAGTCACAGAACAGAAACGTTTTATTATCCAAAAACAGTCTTCATTATTTGTTGACTGAAGTTGACGTAGAAAGGTAGAAAACTATTGCTATGTGATTTGGAAAAAAAAAAAAGAACTGACATGGCAAAATAACATACAAAGCTACAGGTTTTAAATGTCAGTTTCTATATGTTTCATTACACCCTTTAAAAGTGGGCACAAAAGGAAGTGCCTGAGTGCTTTTAAGATTTTGTGTGCAGGCTGTCAGTATCAGGCATTAGTAAAATAGGCAGTGTTTTCCTCTGTCTCTCTCTGAACTGCACTTTCAGTTATGTTTGTTCCTGTCAGCAGTGCAGGGAGATGTTCAGGCAAAGATGTAATCCAAGAGTAGAAATAACCTGGAGTAAAGTGGTACATTATGTTCCATTTATAAGCGTTTCTAACTTTTAATAATTTTAATTAAATACAGTTGGATAGTTACAAGTTTCACAGGTTACAGTTTTTTTGAAGCCTTCTCAGAAAAGTGACGAGTAGCAGGCAGTTGGGCTAACCAGATCTGCCTCTTTTAAAGAGGGAGATACAGGTGTGTGTGTGTTACAGCACAGGAGCATCATTCTGGCCATCTTGATGTACAGATAACAAATACATAACTCTCCAGGCTAAAATCTTCCAAGCCCTGCCAAGGGAGTTAGTCACGCAATTTAGCTTCAACGATATTAGTATATAAATTGAAGGGTCAGTATGAGAGAGGGTATGTAAAAGGTTTAAGTTGCATGCTAACAAGGAGCCATGAGACTGATTCCTTTTAAGACAAGTTGTAATAGCACCCCAAAAACTGACACAAGGCATGAGTGGTGGGAATTAAGGCTGTCTAGATTCACCTCCAAATTTCATCATTGCAGAAACAAAGTACTGAGAGGTTTGCAACCCCTCCTCTTTGGGCTTGTCAGTCTGGAGACTTACAATAAGAAGGTGCAGCTAGGTATTGTGTTAAATAGCTCATGAGCCTTGACTCATCCATCATTCTGAAACTTCACATTACCAGATTAACCTCTTCTTCATATTAGTAATGACAGGTTTCTAAAATATGTCTTGACCAGATACAGGTCAAAGAAGGTATTAACTTGTAATTTGTTCTCAAATGCTACTCTCTGAAAGTAGTTTAGTGTACCATTATATGTAGACATTTTGTTGAAGAAAATACAAAGGCATGCAGCTCCCAAAAAACTTGTTTCTACATCTGGGAAAAATTCTTGTTTTTCCATTTGCCCACGGTTATAAACATAGACTTGGATTTCATGGGTTTTCCCTCTGAAGTTTTCAACTCCTTTGGTCTTTCTGCAAAGACCATTGAAAATAGATCAGATCATGGATCATTTTTTCAGCAAAATCCTGATAATGACTTCCTGTTGTTCAAAACTTCCCCTAGGCCATCAATATCTTGTATGCAATCTCATTTTATGAGCTTATAGCCTAGGGTTTCAGGTACTCATACAAAATAAAAGAGTGTGTCTCACCTTAACTGAATTTCTATGGAGATGGCCCTCCCTAGACAAGTATCAGAAGAAACATGGATAAACTTCAGATAGCACAGTTTCCAATTCTATCCCATCTTATAGCATGGCTCCCAAAGAGCTGATGAGGGACCCGTGTAAAGCTGTAGTTTATGTTACATTAGGATTGCAAACACCTCTCAGTATTCACACTGGTGCTTTACAGTCTTGGAAGAAAAGCACTATAAATGAGTAACTTCATTGTATATCATGCAGCTGGGTATAGTTCATCCAACCCAAAGATTGGCACATTATATTTTTTCTGAGTCTGCCTAACTATGGCTGCTTTTTATTCCAAGTGATCCATCCTTCATTCATCTGTATATAGTAGAGGTTTACAGACGGACTTTATCATACTGACACCACTCAAAAAAAAATAAATCACCAGCTAAAAAATTTTTAAAAAGAGGCTCAGAAAGTGTCCTTCTATGCAAAGCCCAAAATCAACAATTTATATTGAGAAAAATTACAGGGGAAAGAAAAGAAGACTGCATCAGCCGCCATCAGTCAGTGCTCCACTGACCCTTTTAGCCTCAGTCAGGCATTTCTCTGGTCATAGCTGGATTCTCCTTGCGTGCTTTAAAGTCAAGGATACCCATAGGTCTTAATCCCTCCTGTTTAAGTCCTAAAATGGACTACACTTCATAGCCTACTAATATATTGGTCAAAAAACATCAACAAGGTGACCTCTCAGAGTATTATGAACTACTCACTCCCCACAGACACAGCTTCCATCTAGCTGTTGTTTACAAGACCAAGTGGGGGATGACTGTTTCCAGCTACACAGGTTGCCAGTGAAGCAAAAGAGGAAATTATCAGTCTGTCATCCATAGGCCTTTCAGTCATGACTAATTCCTCAAAGAATTGATACTGTCTGATGGGACAGCTGTGTGCTCTTGAGGTTTACAAGTAGGCCAAAGAGAGTGGAGTGGAACAGTGGTCCTATATTTAGTGGTTTTTTAGTTGGTTTTCTTTTGCTTTGTTTTTTCCAAAAGACATTTTCAGTAACATGTCAGGTTTAACATATGGCACTGGGGAATACACCTTCTGTTTAGTTTAAAAATTGCTGCTAAGAAAAATGCTAAGGGAAAGACTTTCTAATTAAAAGTGAAAACACTAGATTGTAAAACAAGTTGACACACGGTGATTTGTGCTGGCTTAAACATCCCAAGAAAAGGAACATGCTTTCCATTGTTTTTCGCTCCTTCACCCTCATGTCATCTGTATAAATGACCTTTCTTATTTGAGTTCATTGGCAGTAAGCACTATTTATGTTTAGTTTATAGCTAGAGATGTCCAGATGTCTTGGTACGGCTTTATCTTGGACAAGTTTTGTGTTTCCTTTTTTAAAGGAACAGATACATGAGGAAGGGGCTTGGTGCTGTGGGTAAAGTCCTATGGAATGAGAAGACAGAAGTTTGCCACAGGACAAAGGGGCGGTAGTAACCTTGATCCTTCTCTTCCCCTCCTACTTTTTTCTCTTACCATCACCTCTTGCTTTCCTGTCACCTCTGGAGTTGGAAGGAACATCAGAGGAGGCATCCACAGAGCATTGTCTGTGCACTACCAGAACCCAGTGAGCACCTGCTGCTTTCCAGTCACCTTGTGCCTTGAAATCACACCATCGCCACCCTTTGTTGCGGAATTTACTTCCTTTATATTCCAGTCCTTTTAAACTACTCAGTACTACCCTACAAAGTCATAATACTATTTCATTTTTCAAAAGTCAGCATTTTCTTTCTCAAGTTTTAGGAGTATCTACTTTCATATGAGACCTAAATATTTTAAATTTTCAATTTAGCTGTCTGAGATGTATTCTTTTCCCCAGATGTTCTGTTTTCATATTTATCCCCATCTAATCAGCAACTGATTTTTCTTTTTCTTCCTCATATTTCTTTTTCTTCATTACAGCAGTAATTTAAGAAGGAAAACAAGAGTCCTCATTCTCCACCAGCAAGTTTTAGTTAAAGAATATTCCAACTTATTTACAGGGGGTTTTTTTCTCAGTGTTTTTAAACACAGCTTCTTGAAGATACCTTTTTTCCAAGCATGAACCATTTCAACTCCACAAGTTCAATAATGCCATGGTTTTAGTAGTGGAATGTAGAGTGTAGATATAATAGTGTTTGTTTCTTTCACTGAATAATTACACTTAAAACTGGCTAATTGGAATCAATTAGTGGTAAGAAGTTAGTCTCAGGGGGACAAGAAGAATTATTTGTGGAAACTCCAGATTGTGTTAAGAACCAACATTTACATGTCTCGATTGTGTCTTATCTACTGAACCTTTTTCATTAAAAATACAGGAATATTGTAGTAGGCAAGGCAAGGGTTTACTTCCATTAAAATTTAGATTAAACCCCATTTTTAAAAACATCTGTGGATAATCTCTTCATCCT